TCAAGGCCTGTCACAGTATTCCCCTGCCCACTTGATGAGTACCACCAAAGACCTTGAGAAACAGACGGCTGCTGTTGTTTGAACATCAAATCTGGGGCTGAGCACTGCTTGAAGCACTTGAGGTCGATGGAAGTCTCAAAGGCCCTCATGTCACAGGCGTCCAATTCAAAAGTGGCACATGTTGACATGTTTGTTGTTCCACAGGTTTGCTCGACACATTTGATAAGACTCTCACAAGGTCATTGTTGCAAGGTAAGCCAAATGTTGCTAAAGACGGCAAGATGAACATGGATCTTAGAGCAGGACAGATAGCTAGCTTCTTGAGGAGTCTCCCTCCAGCCCATCCATGTGGGATGGCACTGAACGCGTTATGAGATGCCAGGTCTTTTCTCTATTCTTCTTCCTTTACATTACAATCGTAGTATTTGCGGTATTGCGAGTTATCACCGCAATCTTCTTGCTACTTGGCTTTCACCAGCGGTGGGTTCATGACAGTCAGTCGCAGGGGCAGGGGTGGCCAGGGAAACTCAGCACTTTGGAACACCACTAGGCTTTTGAGGGGACCACGAAAGACATTGCAAGCATTTGAGCATATTTGAGCCTAGGGCCTAAGGGAAGATGGGGGATGAGAAAGTGTTGTCAAAACGGGGCTAATGTTTTGCACGTGCTGGCAGCAAGATTATCATATGCAGGCAGTTGAAGGGGAAGAGTAGAAGCGAGGGGGGGTGAACGAATCAATTTCAACCTTGAAGATTCAACATCAGTGCAGAAATCTGAGAAACAGGAGGACTAAACTGACTGCAGATCCTGTCCTGGATCAACTTCCATATGTTTACATCAGCGCTTCCTGTCATTGCTTTGTGGTTGCTTCCTATTTTCCCGGTGCTTGCTTTAAGATGTCCCATGCCTTTGGCCTTTCTCGTGATATTGGTCGCCTTGCTGTTTCTCCACATTGAATGCCGGCCGGTCCTTGGATCAATGCTTTTAGATGCAAGTTCTGACCGCTGTAGAAACTTGTATGTCCATCACCCAAGTCCTTGAAGCAGGACTGGAACCGGGGCAAAATTAGAAGTCATTTACTTATACTTAAATAACATAGAACACCTGGGATGGACCAGCTCCGCTGTAGCCTTCTGATGCCACGTCTCCTAGGAAAGACACGTTGGACGCTGCTCAAAACGATGCAGAGCCACTTGGAAACAACACGTTAAATGAATGCAGTATTGTTGGTTTGGTTGTGGTTTGGTTTTGGTTCATCTCAATGAGTGCGATTCAAGGCAGCTCGTCATGGACAGGATGGCTTTGAAAAGCAAGCTCATTAATCGCCTCGCTGCTTGGCAGAGACGTGTGTGTGTGTGTGTCACCCCCTGTATCTAAGGGTTCCACCTCTAACCTCTGGAACTAAGAGTTTTGAATGCAGGGGGACGGGTCACCACCGATACTACCCGTTCAACGAAGAGGGTATCGGTTGGTGCTGACGCAGTGGAGGACGCTCCACTGTGTACCTGCATCAAACGCAATGACTCCACTGGTTCCCCTTGCCGCTGTTGGTTTGTTTCCATGTTGGTTCTTCGCATGATATCCCCCAAAACAGGTTTCCTTGCACGGCTAAGTAATCAGCAACCAGTTTTCTGCAGTCACGCGTCAACCTTTGTTAAAACACCTTCAAGTACCCGGACTTTTCGCCTTTCGGTTCACTCTTTCCTTTCCTAGGTCTGCTAAGTGTTCAGTAACTAGTTTTCTGCAGTCACGCGTCAACTTTTGTTAAAACACCTTCAACTTGCTCGGACCTTTCGCCATTCCGTTGAGCCATTCCTTTCCTTGGGGAACTGAGTTAACTGAATACAATTGTCAGAGTGTGTTTCGCTCAGCCGTCCCACTCGGGCGCTGAGTGTGATCCCCATCATTGGGGCGCCGTTTTGCATCGGAAATCACCCAACACAACGTGCCACCTTCCACCGGAATTCCACTGGAAGTCATCGACACACCCACTGAATCAACTGCCACCATGGCCGCCGGGCCTTACCACGGGAACTGACGGCTTTGAAACACTTGCAATTTTTTTTTGATATGTTTTGACGGCTAAGTATTCACATGTGCTGTGCTGCTAAGTAGTCACAGGCCGGACGAATTAATCGTGCATTTTTTCCCCCTCCCTACCCCTGGGCCTCCGTTGCTACCCCACCCGCTACTCGGGAAACAGAAGGAAATCGCACTCAACACACTTGTGTGTTGGTGCCTTTCCTTCTGTTTCTCCTAGCCTATTGCTAGCTACCCGGGCGGTTTAAGACAAATGTCCCGCTCGTGTTCTACTTTCGTTTAACTAAGTGGGCCTCGTAACTACCCCTATCTTTCTTTCTTGCCCTCTTAGTCTGCTTTTGTTTTGTTTGCTTTGTCTGTTTTTCTAAGGCTTTTTAGGTGGCTATTAGTTTTACGCAGCGCCAATATTGGCGCTTTCTGTACAAAGTTCCACTTTCAACGTTCTACACACTTGCGCCGGAATCGGCGGTTTGTGTGTGTCACCCCCTGTATCTAAGGGTTCCACCTCTAACCTCTGGAACTAAGAGTTTTGAATGCAGGGGGACGGGTCACCACCGATACTACCCCTCCAACGAAGAGGGTATCGGTTGGTGCTGACGCAGTGGAGGACGCTCCACTGTGTACCTGCATCAAACGCAATGACTCCACTGGTTCCGCTTGCCGCTGTTGGTTTGTTTCCATGTTGGTTCTTCGCATGATATCCCCCAAAACAGGTTTCCTTGCACGGCTAAGTAATCAGTAACTAGTTTTCTGCAGTCACGCGTCAACCTTTGTTAAAACACCTTCAAGTACCCGGACTTTTCGCCTTTCGGTTCACTCTTTCCTTTCCTAGGTCTGCTAAGTATTCAGTAACTATTCTGCAGTCACGCGTCAACTTTTGTTAAAACACCTTCAACTTGCTCGGACCTTTCGCCATTCCGTTGAGCCATTCCTTTCCTTGGGGAACTGAGTTAACTGAATACCCTTGGAGTGAAAGGGGACCTTTTGGTCTCTACTTTTCACGGAGGGGCACACGGCATCCATGACCCACCGTGTGCAACGAAGCTACGGTCATGAATGGGGGGGAAGGCTGATCACCTTCCTGTACCTGCATTTTCTGAATGTTCTAGCCACTCTCCAATCGTAGAGGTCCTCAGGCTGTTGCAGCATGATTCAGGTCTGCAGATTTGCACTCGCCGGTTTTCTCGCTCGATCTTCACCTTGTGATTTGAAACTGTTCGACCTTGGGGAACTTTTTGAGGCTTTAATTTAAGCTTTCGTTAGACACGTGCCAACAATGAAACTGCCCGGAAGTGGTGCAGTTTCATTGTGTTCTCCCAACCTTTGGGCTTCTTCTTGGCACCTGTGAGTGACGACGGCATTAATGCGACTGACCAACGCCGCCAGCATTCACCAGACTCCCTATCAGGACGCGCTGGCCTCCATTCGGTCACCCCTCACATTGATCGTCCTAGACCGGCCTAGTGACCGGCCTATTTGGCTTGTGCCTTCAATTGCTTTGGCACTGCTTGAATCGATGAAGTGATTGAAGGATGGGTGAGCCAAATTCAAAGGCATAGATCAAAGGTTACAGAGGTTACACGTTGAATGGTCCCGATTGTTGGCTGTCCACCATGGTTGGCTCAACTCTTGCCATTCCTGAGGTCATGAGAGAGTGGACCCATTTCATGTTCTTTGGACATTGTGCAGTCACAACTTTCAAATAAAACGCCGCAAAGTAGCAGCTGAGCTAAGCAGTTCCCATGTTGAAGTCTTGCAGTTAGGGCGACAACCGCCCCAAACACCCCACTTGGGTCACGCGTGAGTCTAAGCATCGCTTTATCAGGGGGCAAGGGTAAAGGTAGCAGCGCCCTAAGGCCTGAAAAGAATTCTGATCCTTTTCTGGCTGCAGTATGCGTTCTTTGCGGGTGTGAGTGGGGGAGAAATGGTATTCATGGATCTAGGGCCGAGGAAATGCCCTGAGCGCCGGCAGACTGAGGAAGGTGTTTTCAAAGTCATGGATCACGAGGGGACCGGTGACTGTGCTTGCAAAGGGCGGACCTGGATCTTGGGTGAAACCAAATTATTGATGTTGGTTAGTTATTTGGGGGTGCCGCGCCTAAGTCAATTCATTGTTTTCTAACCCGCTATTCCGTTGCCAAAAGTCCATCATCCTGAACTATTTGAGGATGCCCTTAATGACTATTGTGGTTTCTGGACGTCAACAAGGTTGATTTAGGGTGGCTGACTTTCATGCGGAACTGGGCTGCGCGTACCCTATATGCATACACTACATGTAGTTTGTAGAAATATTTTGCTGATTGTTGTGTGTGCTTAAGATCCCAGCGTAAATCTTCAAGTGATATGCTTTAGTTTTTTTGTGTCCTTTTGCAGCCGTGCTTGCTCGGCTCGTCGGCGGCGAACAAATGAGTGTTGATTCTACCGCAGGCATTATTACGGAGGAGAGGCAGGTCCGTTGCAAAGGGAGCTCAGGCTGCGCCATTATCACGGCAGACTTTTGTAATCAGCATATTCAAAAAATCTGGGTGTGTGTGTTTTATTGTTTCCTGACCAGGGACCACCACAGGTGTACAGGAATTACTGTTTTACAGCAACAAACTTTTGCTGAGGGGGCTCAGGGATGTTTGGCCTAAAACCGAACAAGTTCCAAGTGAATCATCCCGCTATGACTTTGTGATGTAAGACGTTTCCATATTTTGTTGCAATTCTTCCGGTTGCTGACATCTTACTATGGCATGGGGCCAAGCAGAGAACCAACCCTAAAGAACTTGCAAAACATATGCATCCTGTGTCAGTGTTTGATTTTGATGGTAGGGTGCTCGAAAATATCATTCCAGCACTGGTTTCGTCATTTTTGTATTCAAGTTGTGCTTGCCTCAGAATGGTGGGGGTGCAGACCCCGGTAGAGGTTGCAGGTTGGAATGCTTCTTGGGCTTAGTGCTCAGCTGTATCATGTGATAGTGATAGTGATATTTGTTGGCCTCATTTATATAAGATTCTACAAGTAGATTCTGCAACCTGTGCGTCTTCTCATATCTCAGAAGTACAAGCGGCAAAGTTGCATTGCAGCACTCAAAGCAAGATCACTCTGAAATTTTGGTGGCTTGCACTGTTTGATCTTGGGTGACAACTAAGAATTCACCACATCAATCGAATGTGGCTCGGGCATGGAGCCACTTCCTTTATCCAGAAAGTTTTGCACTGACAATTTTGTCGTCGTTCAAGCACCGAAGCCTTCTTCGCGTGACCAGCAAGCCAGGCTGTCGCAGATCCTTGCAAATCCAAAGGTCGCTGCGTATTTTGCCACTTTGGAATTGGATATTTCTGAAGGACACTTGGCAACATTCCATGCAGTGAAGCAACGACTACCTTTCAGCTGGTGATAGGGAAAACACACAGGTATAAGGACAAACGTTGCCCACAAAACGCACCAGGATTAACTTGAAATCGAGATAATATGAGGTAGCCAACAGCCTCCTAAGAAAAATGTTTGGAACAAGAAAGCAGACACCTCAGTAGTTGATGCGGAGTTTTTTCATCAAAGCCAAAGCGATAGTGATGCTTGGTGGGCCTCGACGAGATCACAAGCGAGATGTTTCCAAGCAAGGTGCAGAGCTGAATTGGCCAAGACCAGCCTCGGTCAATAAGAAGTGGAAGGAAATCAGAGCTATATAGTTATATATCATGTACACGTGGTGCTTCCCACGAGTGAAGCTTACAAGAATGATTTCATCCTGCCGCCTGCCGCCCTCCTGAGTGGGCCTGCAATGCCAAGTAATTAGTTGATTCGCTGCTAGGCAGCATGGCATTTTTGGATGCAAAGGTCCAACTTGGACCCTTCTTACGGGGGAGATGTTTTATGTTTTCCTCCATTGGTCACGGTGTTGTTCTGCTTTTGCGCTGCACCCGCACTGTGCAGGACGGGCGCTTTTTCATTTGCTTGACAATGGAAACGGCGAGGCCGGGGGAACCAAGTCATCACGTGGTGTCACAGGAATGTGTCCGCTGCTGGGTTTGCATCCTGTGATGACTGTGATCTCCAGGGTTTGCTCCACCCATGACCTGTCCGACCTGTCCGTTGGTTGCATGAACCAGTGCTCCAAGAGACGTCCGCCATTCAGCGCCGGTAGGTCACTCAAGACGAGTTCATTAGCGGCATTCTTCGATGCAAAGGGCAAGCGCGTGCCATCGAACAAGTGGCAATGCATTCGGAGACTTTTCAAAAGTCATACAACTTGTAACTTGCCGACGTAATCTTTCATGTCATCTTGTTCATTTTCACCATGCACTTCACTGTTGGCCAAGCTGGTCCTTTTCGTGGTGCTTCGTGTTTAACGCCGTCAGCACCGAAGACCAAGGAGCTCCGGATCTTGGACCATAAGATCACGAAGCTCTTGGCGTACATCCGACGCTTGTAAGACAAGCATGCTGCGTGGCAAAGCTGTGACGCAGAGAACGGAGAGATGGCGCAATTCTACGGAAGATGCGGATCGTTTGGAACTGGCCCGGCAACAATTGACACACCACAGCATGGTGGTTGTTAGTTGCTAGTTAGATGCTCCTTTCGCCTGCTTTGTGGAGCTGCGCCGGCTGACCCTCACCCGCCCCCGAAAGCTGTCGGACAGATTTTCGGGGCCTTTCCACTGCCATTCACGCATCCAGGACAGGATGCTTCAAAGGATCCTCGCAGGAGCCGGCTGGGGCTGGCCACTGGAGAATTCTATATTTTGATCAGTTGTGCCAGTGCATCCCAAAGATTTGGATGCTTTTTGTTCTCCGCCTTTGACTGTGAATAACACACAATCTTGCTGTAGATGTTCCTATGGCACCCGCACACGGACATAAATACCGTGTTCTATAATTAAACAACTCACTCGGGGCGTGGCTGCAGAACATGTGGAGCATCTCAAGCGCCACTGGTAACAGCTAGCAGCTGCAAGCCACGCCGGCGACCTCCAGGAGAAACACTCACAAGCATCTGCAGGTCTTCCGCGCATGCCTTAGAGCCTCAGAGTGCGACCAATGGTGACCAGCTTTCCAATGATCCAGTATCTCACATGTTTTGGACGGTGCTGAGGCTTTGACATGTCTGCAGAGCTCATGCGAAGTACGCAGCCATGACATAGGCCCCGTGCCAGGCGCTGATAGCATGGATGCCATGTCAGATATGTCAAGGATGCTCAAACTGGCGGCGCCAATCACCAATATGTCAATATGCCAATCGGACCTCCAAGAGATCGTTTCAAGGGAACTCAATGGAGTCCTTATTCTGCACGCTTTGCCGCCAATCAGCCTTGAGGTGCAGGAGTGACAGGAGGGACTAACATGCTGAGCGAGTTTTGGCCGGGATGACGACACATGTGGCTTTCTAGACTTGCTTTTGTATTTTGAGTGCGTTCTGTGCTTTTTCCCAATGGCCAGGTGTTGAAACCCATGGGCCACACGTGAATTTGTGCCACTATGAAGCTTGGTTCCCACATATCCAGTGCTCTCACGGAGGCAAATGCCCCCGCATTGGTCTGAACTTGGCCATGCAAGTAACACTTGGGCATTGATCCCTTTGCCAGTCACCCAGTTCTAGAAGACTTCAGAGCAACGGTGATTAAAAAATACAAGCACTTGTGTTAAGTCGTCTGGTCTTGTAGAAAGTCGTCTGGATGTTGCGTTTCCAGTGGAGTTAGATGCAAGATAACAATATAACTAACTGGAAGAGCATTAGGTCAACAACATTGTTTGCATGCTGCGTTTCCATGCAGGTTAGAGGCAAGGTGACCAAAAAGTGATTTGAAGATAATCGACGTGGGTAGGTGGATACCTCGACTCGCGCGGCACTCGCGTCAGGATCGAAAAGACTTGCACGGCACTCGCGCCAGTGTACACAGTTCATTTCATATGTTTAAGTCAATCTAGCCAGACCGGTGACTGTTGGAATCGCTGACTCGTTCAAATCCAATTGAGCCGGGCCAGAGCGGCCAGAGCATCTATGTTTAGGGGCTAATCTTCACGATAGTCCTAACCTTGCGTTCTGATTAGGGTTCGGTCACCAAAATGCTGCAAACTTCGACATAAAACTAGTCCTTTCCTCCACAGGGGCAGTGAATTCTTGATGTACAGCAGCTTTGACAAACATACTTCCGTAGAGCGTTTACATTGTGTTTTAACATAGAGCGGGTGACTTTTCGCCAGCCGGGTGACTTTTGACTAATGTTGCGTTTCCATGCGGCCGGGTGACTTTCTGCAAACCCGGGTGACTAAACCCCAGCGCTAGTATGTCATTATCCATTGTAACTTGGTGCGAAGATGGCCCAGTGCTGCTATCTGGTGCCGTGAGACACACATGTATCAGCACTGGCAGCTGTGTCTGGGGAGCGTTCCAAAGAACTGCACCAAAGCTTTTTTCCCCATTGAGCCAGGTCACTCCTGAATCAATTGGTATTATAAAGTGCAGATTGCAGAATGTGCACAGAAGTGAAGCAGCAACAAACTAGGGTGGTACTTTCCTTCTTTTCAGCTGACTTTGGTGGCGGTAGATTGCTCCATATACAGGGAGCACCAAAGCTGGCCGTTTCCGGCAGCCAGTCAAAGCTCACACGACCAGAAAGTACATATCAATGGTCATATCAATAGATATATCTATATAGGAAAAATATAGATATATAGATATATACTAACTTGTTCCTTTTGGCCCCCCTGGCGCAATCAGACAGAGTCAAGCAAAAAGCTCAACGCTTTAGACACTTGGGCAATGGCCAAGTTGCGGAACCTTAGCCAGTTTGACAGCTCAGTTTCTCCTGCAGAATGCCAAAAGGGCCTGCAGGGTCCAGGGTTGATGTGGATGGTCTTTGCAGGGTCAGGGAGTCAAGGAGTGGGTCATGTTCAGGCCCGAGTCATCAGATCTTGGTGACACTCCTTGGAGCCCTCCAAAATGCTTGCCTTTTGATCCAGTCAGGAAAACAATCTTTTGGAATGAGGCAGAGATGTTACTTGCTATGGTTTTTGGTTGGTTTCCCCGCCTTAGATGAACAAAGGCTTAGACTGCTGGAACTGCTACGGCTTCCGACAGTGGCAAAGCCACTGCGACACGACACCCGTACATGCTGTGCTGCTATTCCCTTCGCCGGTGGCAAGTCGAAGCCGAAGCCCCGTGTTTTGACCTGTCAATTGTTACTACTAGCTTCTTGTTACTACTAGTAAGGCACTTGTTACTAGTAGCGATGCACTTGTTCCTAATAGCTTCTTGTTACTACTATATAGTAAGTGTATGGAAACGACCGTCACGGGTCTCAGGTCTGAATTTTGTGAGCTTGCCACGGGTCCCACGTCTAGGGGCAAAAACCCTTGCATCCTGTGCATCCTGCCGTAAGTTGCTTCATAACAGACGGCAAATAGAACATACCTGTGGCTAGAGACTTCTTGTATGCACATATGCAATTGTATGCACTATTAGTGATGACGTGTCAAGGTTTGGTGGCCGCTTTTGCGGGTTCTAGCGTGTTGTTTTCTACTACATTCTTAAATTATTCCAAGGTCGATGTACTGCAGCTGGCTTCGCTGGCCTCCGGTGGTAGTGACAAATCTGTCACCACAGCAAAGTCACGCAGGTTGCCATCGTGTCATTTTATGGGATGGTGATTCGGACGGTGGCATGGGGAGCATGGGACAGCATGGGCTTGTTGATCCCCAAGATTGATTTTTGGCAAAGGCCCTTTGTGAACCGCCACTCAGGATTTCTGCCCAGAGTTTTGACCCAGGCTTTGGTAAGCGTTATATATATATATATATAGATCCTTGCACAGAAGGAGGAAGGTACACTCACACACACGTACACACACTTTGAGAACTGCTCGCAAGAGCTAAGTTCAGGGTGAAGTCCCACTTTTGCGAGCACATTGCCCGTTGCATTGTAGACCTTGACTTGCAAACCGAATGGTGAAAGAGTCGGCGTCACTTGTATTGTTGAACATGGGTAAGACGGACGAGGCTTCCAAAGCTTTAAAAAGTTTGCAGGTACGCCAGACTGATCAGGTTTGGTATCACGACGACATGGATGGGTCTTCGTTGGCTCATGCCATCCATGCGTCCACGAGCCCCCTGCCTCTTTTTTTGCGTTGTTAAAAATAGTTTTGGTACAAGACGTGAGCAGCCTTGGGAACAGGCTTTGACACGCACACACACACCACGCCGAGATCGGCGCTCAAACGAAGTACTAGCCACCTAACAAGCCTTGGAAAGAAAGACAAAGAGAAACAAAAAGAGCAAGCGAAGAGGGCAAGAGAGAAAGGTAGGGGTAGTGACGAGGCCCACTAGTTATGGGACTCCTAGTTGCAGCCCCTAAGGTTAAAATCGGCTTTAAAACTTGGCAATGTGCGCAGCCTTAAAAACAGGCTGTCGCACACACGTCACGCCGATAGCGGCGCGCAAGGAAAGTACTAGCCACCTAACAAGCCTTAGAAGACAGAAAAAGAAAAGACAGAAAGAGCAAACGAAGAGGGCAAGAGAGAAAGATAGGAGTAGTTCTATTACAAGGCCCCCTAGTTACGAAGCCTTCTAGTTACGCGAATTACATGCAATAGTTAGCGAGCGGGACTTTAGTCTTAGACCGCCCGGGTAGCTAGAACTAGGACAGGAGAAACAGAAGGAAAGGCACCAACACACAAGTGTGTTGAGTGCGATTTCCTTCTGTTACCCTAGATGGCGGGTGGGATAGCAACCAAGGCCAGGGGCAAGGAGGTAGGGGGGAGGGTGGGTTAGGGTGGCCCGAAGGCATTGCCGTCACTCACTGGCATTCAAGTAAAGCCGCATTCGGCGCATCTTTGACTGAAACCTAAAGAAAGGCCTCAAGAAAACGAAAAGCAACAGCAGGAAGGAAAAACAAAAGAACCAGAAGAGATTACTTAGTCGTTCACGTTCCGGACTCTCCTTCCGCTCGGCCGTAAAAGGCGGTACAGTTTCACCTGAAACCTGAAAAGCATCGAGCAACCCTTCACCTGAACCTAGAAGCCTCGAGCAAAACTCGAAGTCGTCCGAATGACAAATTCGACCCGTGCAGGTGTCCCGTCTTGTTTATTTAGCCAAATGACACTGCTCCAAACATGCTCATGTGTGAAATTCCCAACTGGATCTGATCACAGTAAGCCCTGCGGCGTTCAATCAGCAGTCTCGTGCAATTCCGCCAATCAGTGGGATTGCATAAAGAAGTTCAAGTGCAAGAACGGAACAGTCAGAGTGGGTCCCCCAGGATCTGGGCCACAGCCCTCAGTGGGACTCTGTGCGAAACTCACTTTGAGAATTGCTCGCAAGAGCTAAGTTCAGAGTGAAGCCCCACTTTCAGTACATTACCCGTTGCATTGTAGACCTTGACTTGCAAACCGAATGGTGAAAGAGTCGGCGTCACTTGTATTGTTGAACATGGGTGAAACAGACGAGGCTTCCAAAGCTTTAAAAGTTTGCAGGTACGCCAGACTGATCAGGTCTGGTAGCACGACGACATGGATGGGTCTTCGTTGGCTCGTGACTTCCATGCGTCCACGAGCCCCCTGCCTCTTTTATCGCGTTGTTAAAATTAGTTTTTGTTCAAGACATGTGTGCAGCCTTGGACACAGGCTTTGACACACACACACATATTATATGTATATATACACCCATGCAAACAGACTCTGACGATTGACTATTGACTATGCTTGAAATAGCTGACGCCTCCAGTCGAACTTTACGTTTCCGATTGAGACCTGAATCACCCTCCAACAACTCTCGGTGCGAACCGTTGCGCTGACGGTGCTGGCACCATTGTGGCACATTGAGTCCATGCATATCCACCATCCCTGGCATGTTGCTGACCGATGTCAATTTAACGTTTGAAAAAGAAACTCACCTTCGCCGCAGCAAAAAAACACTTTGGATTGCTTCTCTTGCGCGGAACCGTTATAGAACTTGATGAAACCTCACGCAGCAATAACCCGCGATAACTTAACTGTTCAACACGGGACACCTTTTTCAGAGCCAATGGGTCGTGTTCAATGTTTATCACAGATCAGGGCAACTAGATTTCGACAGGGAAGTGGCACAGCTATATCAACAACTTCCCTCCGGACTATATAGAACTTGGCCATCGGCCTGCCAAATATGTAGAAGAGCCTAGCACTGGCAGCTGATTTGGTCCGGCCATGCGCAATTGCACCCAAATGGGTGTGGATACAGCTTGCTCGGACCGTAGAGTTCATCAATGGCGCTCCTTGGATGTCTCCATCACAGGCAGGACATAGACAAAAGAGAATCTTGAGCAATTCTTGGCTTTGATGTCTCCTGAAACACTCCTTTGAAGTGTTTCCATGTTTTTGCTAGGCAGGATGTTCAGGATGTCCTTTGGTACTTTTGGCAGATTCAAGCCTCGTCAAGTGGTAGCACGTTTAGTGCCAAGTGGTCTACAAACAGTTTTTTTCTTCAACATGCTGCCAGTTACAACGATTGGCCGATGCATTTGCATGCATGTGCTAATTTAGGTTTGGAGATTGCGCCATCGTATGGCAGGTAGGCTAGGCCATGAGGCCCCATGCACTAAGACATAGCGAGAGTTTGAGACAT